GTATGCGAAAAGCGTCAAGCGACTGTATTTATATCGTATTGCAGCGCGACTCGGAGTATTGCGTAACGCAGGCACGTGTAGTTGCTTTAATGGCAATTTATCTTAATCGTCGCAGTTTGACAACAGACTTGCGGCGCTTTATTGATAATATTTAAGAAAGGTTCCAGTTTACACATGTCGAATCTTGTACCGTCGATTATTTCCTTTTAAATTCGATAATCGCACCTACGGATATTTTAAAATACTTTTTTGCCTCAATTTTAGCTCCATTATTAAACAATTGATATTTTTGGATTGTGTGTATGTATGCATACATATACTCTGATGATTATAAATAATTTTGTCTCACAAATGCGACTGGTCTATGATAATCGAAAACAGAATTAAAGAAAAGTTTGCAAGTGCCATTATATTTTAAGTAGAAAATAAACGGCTAATTCATGTTAGTTGTTGATTAGTTATGTCGTGTCAGTTTAAACGTAGCATTTTTGCTAAAAGAAATTAACAAGAACCGTGTAATTTGTTGGAGGATAAGAAATGTCCATATATACATACCAATTCATATTAATGTTATTGCTTGCGTAGTACTGGCAACTTCTTCCTTCACATATTCTTCAAAGTTGGATACTAAGGCTATTAATTATCTTCCCGTTAGAGTTTAATCACGTTAAATTTCTAATGAACTTCCACGTTTAGCTAAAAAGATCAACCAGAAGCTTTTAAAGAGATATGATAAGCGTAAGACACATCGAGGACGCGTCCATCCAATCGACCGACCGGTTCGCACACTCGCCCGACGAAACAAGACACGACGAAACGGCCGACAGTTCGACATCGATCAGCAGCAGGATTGATGATCGCAATTACGATTTATCGTTCACGGCAGGTGACGCGGCCACGACGATTCGCGCGCTCTTTCGGCCTCCAAATGAGACGTCAAGCCGTTCTGGAGTAAACTGGCGCACCGGATCGTCACCCTTTTGTCGAGGGGTAACGAGATTATCGCGACGTGTATACGTATTGTCACCCTCGGGGATAGGACAATCGTGCCGGCGCATTCGGCCTCGAGGATTCTCTTCCGGCGTCCCGTCGGCGTCCCGTCGGACACCGCCGTCTGTGAACGAATCGGGAAGAGGCCGGGACAAGAGCGCGCGTTCTCCTGGTCCTCGGCACCAGGATCCCGTCGGCACCGAAAATTCTGTCGAGTAATGCAAGAATTATTATCCAACGCGCGGCAGACCGTCGGGTTGAAGGGAAAGAAAAAGGAAGATGAAGGGGGACGGGGGGGGGACGGAAGAAAATGGTCGTTAAGCGTGCGCGCGAAATATGAGAAATGATCTGTCGACGTTCCCGTGGCCGTGGAAAAAGCTGAACGCGGGCTTCAAAGAAGCCGTGGAATTGAAAAAGCCGGAGGGCCGCGCCATTAGATGCAGCATGATAGAGCGAATTCCGTATGACGGGGCTTGGTCGAAGGAAAATCCATTCCGACGGCAGAATCTCGAGCATCGAGGAAAACCGAGACTTTCTTATTTACTTCTTGAAATGATAATCGCCAGCAATTGCAACAAACTTAATACGATCGGGGACGACTCCTCGTGATTTAACGCAATTCCGAGAAAAAACTAACGTATCGTGCTTTGTGTTAAATTATTTTGCATGAAGATTTGACAAACACAATGGTTATTTTCTTCGTAAATTGAAATTTTATGAGACGCACGAGACGAATCGATTTTCTAGAACAGTAAGAATCGATAAAGTATGAAATGCATTGAAAAATATGTGACATTGTGTTCTTATTGTAGTTTGGTGATTTATGATGCGCGTTGGTCGGATTATAGATTCTGGAGTCAGGAATCGGTGAAGTGACGGACTTAAGAAAAAATCTTTGTCTTCACGTTAACGTCTTTTAGGCCTTTTATTCCGAACTCGCGTGACTTTCTCTGCGACTGTACCATTCGATGTCTTTTA